CTCTCTCTCTCTCTCTCTCTCTCTCTCTCTCCTCTCCTCTCCTTCTCTTCTCCTCCCTCCCCCCTCCCTCCCTTCCCTCTCCTCCCCTTTCCTCCCTCCCCTCCCCCTCCCTCCCTCCCCCTCTCCTCCCCCTCCCTCCCATGAGATATTGTAAAGTACAAAGTACAAAGTATTCATTAAAGTATAGGGTAGAAAGTATAAATAGTCACATCTACCCACCCAAATCCAAGCAAACCAGCACAGAACCCAGCAATATGCATGAGATATTTTCCATTTTCCATTTTCCATTTTCAATTTTCAATTTTCCATTTCCTATTTCCTATTTCCTGTTCAGTTTCCATTTTCCATTTCTTATTTCCTGTTCAGTTTCAAGCTTCATCACCACATCCGTTATCACCCAATCCTTATCATCATCACCCAATCCTCATCATCATCATCATCATCAGCTCCGTCGCCCGTGTCGTAAATCCGCTTACCGTACCATCCATCCATCCATCTACCTATCATCAGTGAAGAAACCAGTCTGGCATCCCCCCTCAACCCCGTTTTATAAATTACTTCTTTCTTTAAAATTAAAAAGGCCAAAAGGCCAAGATGAATACAGCACCTACGGGAGCGGATGTGATGTGATATGATACCATATGATATGATACGATGCGATAGATTTGCTAACGTCGACGACTCACATCTCGCTCTCGCTCTCTAACCGGCGAACCACTAGCCCCTTCTCCACAAGCGCATCCTTCACCTGCTGGACTGTGTACTCCCCACGGTGGAACATGCCCGCGCCCAACGCAGCGTCCGTCCGCGTCTTCGCGAACACCTCCTCGAAATGTCCCGGGTGCCCGGCGCCGCTGCTCGCAATGACCGGGATCGTGACGGCGCCCTTGACCTGGTTGATGAGCTCGAGGTCGAAGCCGCTGCTGGTGCCGTCTCGGTCGATGCAGTTGAGCAGGATCTCGCCCGTGCCCATGGCTTCGACGGCCGTGGCCAGCTGCACGACGTCCACGTCGCGGGTCTCGCGCCCGCCCTGGATCGTACACGCGTACCAGCAGTACGACTCGCCGTTCGGTCCCGGGTGCGCGGTCGGGATCGTGTGGTGAGGTGTTGACTTGGCGTCGGCGACGTACACCCGCTTAGGGTCTACGCTTACCACCACTGCTTGGTTGCCGTAGGCCCCTGATATCTGCTCGATGGCCGTCTTGCCCGACAGCCGTTTGCCAGCAGCGTAGTACTCCTCGGCCGCAGCCACGGCGTCGGAGCCGATCGACACCTTGTCCGCGCCGCTCTTGAAGTACATCGTGGCGATCTCCAACGCGGAGACTCTCGTGCCATCTGTATCGGTGGTATCCCTAATCCCCCCACCGATCGTCAACGGTACGAAAACCGTCTCGGAAGTCTTCCGCAGGATCTCCAACATGGGCAGATCTGCTAGCGGACAGTCTCGAAAGCTGGTGATGTTGAGAAAGGTGACCTCGTCCGCTCCTTGCTCGTAATACTTCCTCGCCATCTCCACCGGCTTCCCTAGATTTCTCACCTTGCCCCCCTCGGTCTTTTCCCGTACATCGTACTGGTCTCCTTTCGTCACGACCAAGTCGCCTTGGTCGTTCGTCCGCACGTCTAAGCATGCGATAACTCGTCTCGTCAAGCCCTCTTGCACAGCTTCAATCCCCGCTACTCCAGCCTCTTGCTTCCCGTCCAAGAATGCCTTGATCACTCGCAGGCCCGCCACGCCGCTCTTCTCCGGATGAAACTGCGTGGCCAGGATGCTGCCCTTGGCCACAGCGCCCACAAACTCCTCCTCCCCATACCGCGCCGTCGCGACCGTCCATCCCTGATCCTCCAGCTCCCCCTTCCGGTACGGCACCTTGTACGAATGCACGTAGTAGTACTTCGAGCTCGGCCGGAGCCCGTAGACCGGCCTCTCGGCAGTGTTCGCGCCGTTCCACCCAATGTGCGGCACTGATTTCGACGTGTCGTCAAAGCGATCGAGGTGCCCTTTGATCAGGCCGATGCCCGGCACCGCCGAGCTCTCCGACGAGCCTTCGAAGAGGACTTGCAGGCCGACGCAGATGGCCATGAAGGGCTTGCCCGACTCGATATGCTTTCGTATCGCGGGCAGGTAGCCGGCGGATGAGAATTGGGTCATGCAGTGGCCGAAGTGGCCGACGCCGGGGAGGATGAGTTTCTGCGGGGTCGTGTCAGCGGAACGGTTCTCGCTGGACATCCCTCCACGGGGTTGAAATACAGAGAGTACAGCTCGGGATCCTGCAATCCGGCTTTCCCGTGCCACTTACGTCTGCCTTCTCGACATCTTCTGGGGATCGGACCCATTCGATCGTGTATCCAACCTTTTCGATGGCATTGACCAGGCTCCGGACATTGCCCGCCACGTAGTCGAGAAGGTACACCCGCGGCATGTTCTTGTTTGTTATTTCCAACAGAAATAATCAAGCAGAAGGCGCAATCGTTGGCTGGATTATTGCCGTTGGCGGGAGCGAGTCAACAAGCCGGACTGGACCCGATCAAAAATACCAACCCCGCTATTCTGCCGCCTCTTACCGCTCATCCACGTCCACTTCACCCACATCCACCTAAAACATCTCTCTCGGGATATTCGCTTGCAACGTGTCAGACCGAATCGAGTGGTTGCTTGAATCAGAGCTCAACCTTACCTTAATACGCGTTATAGGTGTTTTCGCCTTTCAATTCCATCCCCGCTATCTCTCAGGCCACTATAGAGGTAGCATCATTGTCTTCTTGCTCTCTCTCTCTCTGCGATTTATACTCGTACTTGTATGAATAAGAAATACAGTAGCATCACCCACTTATCATTCTCATTCTCACTCTCATTATGATTGATGACCATGCAGTCAAGGTCAGTAAGTAAATTCTGGGTTTGCATCCATACAGTACGTAGGCAAGTACCAAACTATACCTTCCTTTTCATACGCACACATGATATCCCTCTCCTCTCCCAATAATAACCTAATAACTCAGCCAGCCAGCAAACGCCACGTCGCCCTCCCACCCAGAATATGGTGCGCATCCTGCACATCGCCATCCTTTCGCACACCCCATATCAATATCCCATTTCCACCCCCATCCCCATCCCATTCCGCATACCGCATATTGCCCCAACCCAAGACCCCCCCCCCCCCAACCAAAATAAAATAGAGAACCCAGATCACTTCACTTCATATACGCCCCCTGCGGCTGCGTCAACCCCCCACTCTGCTGCCCATAGTACCCGCCCGGCGCATTCCCATTCCCATTCACGTACTGCGGGGGCGGCGGGCCCGGCGGCGGCGCATACGGCTGCTGGGGGTGGTAGCCGCTGTAGCCCGGGTTGTGGGCTGTCATGGGCGTGGGTGCGTTGTTCATGCGGCGGCGACGGCGGCGGTTGGCGCAGCATCTGGTGTTTTGGAGAGAGCGAGTTAGCGTGGTGTGGAGAGAGAGAGAGAGAGGAGGTGCTTCCGATGAGACTTAGTTTTGTGAGAGGGTAAGGAAGGGCAAGGGTCAAGAAGGAAAGAAAACGTACAAGTAGAGAAAGAAGAGGAAGAGGCCGAGGAAGATGAGGATGCCGGCGAGGACCCAGCGGCCCCAGCGGTCCCAGTTGGAGCGGCAGTTCCCGTAGTAGTAGCTGTCTCGTTAGCGGTGGGTACCGTCTGGGTTCTGGTGTTCTTTGGTGGTTTCGACCGGATTCGGTCTGTGTTCGGAGAAAGGGAGGGAGGAAGAGAGGAAGAGAGGAAGAGAGGAAGAGAGGAAGAGAGGAAGAGAGGAAGAGAGGAAGAGAGGAAGAGAGGAAGAGAGGAAGAGAGGAAGAGAGGAAGAGAAGGAAGAAGGCCATACCAGTCCCTGCGATTCCCATAGTAAACCTGTCGCGCGACGAGACCGATGAGCGCCTCTTCCCCCGTAGCAAGGGCGTTTCGGGGGAGGATCATAGCTCTGGCTCTGGGTTGGATCGGATCGAACGCTGTGTTTTGTTTGATTTGATTTGATTTGATTTGATTTGATTCGATTTGACTTGACTTGGTTTGGACTCCTTCTGTCTGGACGTGAACCTGGATCTGATAATGGGTATGTGTGTGTATATGGGAGATGTACAGAGTGGGATGGACGAATCCACAGGTTTTCAAGTTCAAGATCAAGTCCAAGCCAAGGCGAAGCCAAGGCGAGGCGAAGCGAAGCGAAGCGAGAAGAAGAGAAGACAAGAGAAAGAGACGAGAAAAGCCTGTTTTTGGGTGCTGCGCACCTTCTTCGTCCTAGTTACTGGTTCGTCCGCAGTAGGAGTAGTCCTGTAGGAGTACCGTCGTGGTCTTCTTCTGCGTGCGTCGCAGCCGAGCCTGCTTGCCTGCCTGCCTGCCCGGATCCAGAACATGCAAAGGGCAAGTAGGTAAAGTAAGACATCTTTGTTTGCTACGTAGCTACCGGTACTGTATTTGCGGAAAGCGGATCTATCGACATGGTCTATTCACTTCTCTCTGTCTTTTGCTTTTCACAGATTTCCATAGTCAAAGTTTCAATAGATAACGTACCGTCGTTGATATTCGCGGAAGAAACACCGAGGAGGGCAGAACAAGCCCAGACTCTGTACTGTAGATACCGACTCCGTACTCCGTATAATGTACCGGTACGTATGTCCCCCGCTCTTTCCAGCTCGCCAGCTCTGTGGCGTCGAGAATGACGTTGAGCGGGGCTGTGCTCGGCTAGGCTGACGTCATTTACTGATTCATTCATTCTTTCAAATACTTACAGTAGCTGAGACAGTCGTCGACGAGTGTGGCTGTGTGGCTATGCTACGTATCTACATAGGTAGGTAGCTACCGTACTATATGCCGGCTATGATCAACGGCGACATCACATGAATAGATCCTATTCCTCTAATACGCACAGTATATCTTCTCGAGTCATTTCCCACCCCCTCAAGATCTCAGCATGATTCGTTCATACAATACAGCCGTAGGAAAGGACCCCGTAAAACCCCAGCCCCCCGTCTGACGTGCTGCCGGAAACCCAGGCCGTCTCGATCGTGAAGCAGAAGTACTCCGTAGAGTGATACTGTTGGTCGGCAATATCGAGTTATGCGATGCCTGTCCGGTCTACCTATCTATTTATGAAAACCGGTATAAAACCCCCCCCCAAAAAAAGCCATCTCATCACCTGTGTTTTCATTTCATTATTCATCCAATTATCAAAACGAATTCAATAAATTTTTTATATATATAATTTTTTTTTTGTGTTTGTTCCATCTCAGGCCCCAATCCCCAAGTTTTCCAAATCTTGAATCTTTTTTTTTTCTTTCTCCAAAAACTCCGGAACCCAAAGGGTATCTATATATCTATCCATCTATCCTATCCATGTCATTCAAAGCCTATAGCCTATCCACATCCACATCATGCTACCCATCAAACCAAACCAGAACCAAAATCTACCTACATGTGAAAAAAGGCTCAAAGAAAGTTATGTAGGTAGGTAGTAGGGAAAAAAAGCTCTATGTTATATATAAAATCGTAAAAAAAATCCGTCCTAAACCAGCTCTTTTTAGTTTTCTGGTACGAAAAAAAGAATGACAAGGCTGTGCCGGGGGGTAGGGCCATGTCTTTGATGGCGGCCTGCGCCCTGTATATGTCTCTGTGTCTCTGTGTGACTCTGTGTGACTCTGTGTCTCTCTCTGTGTGTAGGTTTGTATGTGTGAGTGAGTGCGTGAGTGCGTGTGTGTGTGTCCGGTAACGACAGGCGGATTAACCGCGCGTGCGCGCGCACTGGAACCAAAGCCAGCCAGGCCAGCCAGGCCCCAGGGCCCCAATTGCCCGAACCCCATATCATCCGATTTTCGCCCACCCCCCCCCTTTTCCTCCCCCTCCTTCCCGCCTTCCCACCTCTTGTGTATTAAAGGACTCCAGCCCATCTCTCCAAGGTAAAGAACACGACGAGAAAGGCGAGAGAGCCATCTAGTGAGCGTCTTCGTCGCGGCCGGGCCAGCAGATCATGTGCTGCACGTACGCGCGGATGTGGTAGATGAAGATGAGCAGCCAGGCGAAGAAGAAGACCGTCGCCATGCCGGTGCCGACGAGTTGGATCGAGTTGCTGCCCAGGCGTTCGCCGATCTTGATCGTGGCGATGGTGAAGCCGACGTTGGGGAAGACCTTCGCGTACCAGTTGAGATGGAAGTCGTTGTGCGGGAGACCGTCCACCATCGCGATGACGGCGATGGCGAAGGCCCAGAAGGCAAACAGCCACAGGAAGATGGCGATCATGAGCGCCGCGAGAGCAATCATGTCCGGGACGAGGGATTGGTTGGTGATTCCGGGGAGGGTCGTGTATCCGTCGAAAAGCTTGAGGATTTGGATGTCTTGTGCCATGCCGATGAAGGCGAGGCCAGTGAAGGCGGGCGGGCCGACAGCGATGAACATGGCGGGGCGGGAGAGGTAGATGGGGAGACCGGAGGTCAGGAGTCGTCCGAAGTACAGCGGATACATCATCAGAGCGACCATGAACCCGAGACCTTGGTATGTGAGTCCGGTGACGAGGATTGGAATAGCGTGCTCCTGCGGCTGGGTCTTGGTAATGGTAGAAGCGATGGTCCCAACCAGCATAGCAGGGAAGATCGGCAGGACCCACCCAGGAAGCACGTTGGTGAGCACCAGTTTCTTGACGGAGAAGAGGACGTGGTAGTAGATGATGGCATGGAAAGTGACGGCGATAGTATAGATCCAGAAGCCGATGCGAAGGCCTTCGACGAGCCACGGTCCCGTGTTCGGGATACCGTAAGCGACGGCGTTGTTCATGATGGTGGCGATCGAGAGCCAGAAGGTGGCGGAGAAGAATCCTTCATGGGGGTTGGTGAAGGCTGGCTTGAGGCGTTCGGGATAGATGGCGAAGCGTGTGATCATGAGGATGGTGATCAGAGTGAAGCAGATGAGATTGAAGATGAAGAGGAAGATTCCAAGACCAGTGAGGCCCGGGAAGCGATTTGGGACAACCGATAGAATCGTTGCCACTCCTCCTGTCGCCATAGTGAAGGCATACCAAGCAAATGTAAAATGCTTGAGGCGTTCCTTGAAAGTGTGTGGCCCTGCGGAGATGTGGTGGTGGTCGTCGTGGTGAGCAGCGGGAGCATGAGCCGCGGGTGGTGCGTGTGCGCCCTGCTTCACGTCTACCGATCCTTTCTCCATATCATTGTGGTTGCTGTAGGCGTTGGCGGGAAAATACTCCATGGGACGCGAGATCTGAGGGTAGGTCATGGCATTGGAAAGACCGGTGTTGGATCTCGTGTGCGCCGGAGGAGTGAAAGGACCAGCAGACCTGTTGTCGTTGGGAGAGATGAAGGCGGATTTCCGCTGCGAGAGAAACTCGAGGGTAGACTCGATATCATTGCGAATGCGAGTATCTCGTCTCTCGTCACGAAGGATAGCCTTCTTGTAGTTAACAAGCTCGTCAATAGGGCCGGCCTGGGTAGACATGTTTGAAAACGAGAGCGGGTGGTGGATATTACTTTTTCCTGTGGAAGTGCGGTGCCGGTGGTTTTTGAAAGGCGAGCGATCCGCTCATCTGATATCAACAGAAGAACCGACTCATCTTCCTGCTCGCAAGGCCACCCCCTCTTCTACTGAACCACACCCAAAACCAGGTTCCTGGCTACGCTCATGCTGATTGACCGTGTTGTGGGTCCAGCCTGGGACTTTGTAGAACAGCCAAGTAGTCCGCAAACACGATGGAGCCTCATGTTGCGTCCTAGAATAGCAGCCAAGAGATACTGGGATTCGGACGACAGAATCGGGTGCCCTGGGAGGCCTCCAATTGGGGGTGAGATGGGTCGAGATGGATGGGCAAGTCTGCCAAGCAGCGCAAGACATGCTTGTCGTTTTATCCTCCGGTTAGAGAATCGTTGCCGTCGCCGCTGCTGGTCCCTGGGAAATAGGCAGATGGACAGAAAATTGCACGGTGCAAGGGTGGAACTTGAACTCGGCAGCACCGTGCACAAAAAGGCTGGACTGGACCGCCAATTAGCCCGTCGTCTCGACTCGACGACCGAGCTTCAAGTTCAGGGGCGATGGCCAATAAAAGAGGGAGAATCAAGACCATGAATACCATACACGCAAGCATCGGGCCCATGCGAGACGGGCAGCCAGTCAAATGCAACGTGCAAAGGCCTTTTGAGACTGCGACTGACAGAGGCACTTCGCAGATGGACAATCAGCCTCAAGGCCTAGATGCCAAGTGCCTCTCCAGCGCTGGGTGCAGGTTCGAACGCTTCTTACAGTGGTGTATTAGCGTGTAAGAGACTGACGGGTTTTCCATGCCCACTCTGAAAAAGCCCGATATCCTCCCGACTCATGATTATTGAAAGCCCAAGGGCAACTTTCAAATGCCCTGCGTTGTGGATGTATGCTATCGACATGGTCGATGCCAGCGTGTACTGTCTTTCGGGCAGCCAGTCCATGGATGTGGAATACATATACACATAATCGTGAAATGGCACTGTCCTTCCATGCTGCCATCCTGGCCTGCACTTCCCGTCAAATAAAATAGCAAAATTAATTGCTCTTGTTGTAGAATGTAGTCAGTATTGCTGCTGAATGCTACCATCGAGTTTTGATCGACCTCGCTGTACTGGGCTGCGCGAAGACGCCGCAAAAATGCTTCCCAGTCGCCACGCGTTGGTCCACTGGGCTCCACAGCGGATGATTAACGCAGGCAAGAGATCGCCTAAAAGCCGAAGCTCATAGTATGATGATGCCCTGGTGCAGTGCCGCGAGACACTCGGCGCAGCCAAGATACCCAACAAATGGTACATGCTGCAGAGGCGTTTCGATTCCCAGTCCCCCAGAGATGCGACGAGCTTCGGTTTTGGAAAAAGGTCGCAATGGGATGAGATCGAGCATATCTCTCTCTGCAATGACGGCCTGCATCGTGAATCGTTGTTGAACGTGGGGCGGAATGATACCCGACGAGGTCGCAATTTGGTCGTGGGCATTGAGCAGACCCGCGCAAATTTCCTGCGCTGGCAAAAAAAGATTATCTTGGGGCTCAATTTTCCCTTCACAATCAATCAATCCACAATATTGTTTGGGATCGGGAGTACCGTATGCGGCCCCACCGAGGATAAGGGGGACGGACATTGGCGGCTGCAGCACAGGCAAAGAAGCTTTGAAGCAAGCACTGTGCCCAAGTCCGTCCTCGCCAATTTCGGTCCCTGACGATCATCATTGGGCTGGGTATAAGAATAGAAAAAAGGGACATTCTCATATCGCACCCAAGCTCGGTGAAATAACAGGAAATTCTGCTCTGGCCCAGCCGATCTATACATGCATGTATGCTCTGTCGTGATGACCATGAATCTTCCAATTTGTCTTATAGTCAACGAGACCAGGAACAGGTCCGAAACCAAAGAGGAGAAAGCCCGAGACTTCGGGTGCTTTGCATGATGCTGTGTCAAGCTGAATTGTTCTGCCGCATGATCGTGTTCGAAGAATCGGCCGGTCACTTGCTCGATCACGTCTTCGCATCTATGTTCCTTTGCTCTTGCGATCACGAGTCCAGGCCAGCTCATGAAGTTCTGTGGCCTTTGCGAGAAGAGCTATACTCTCGTGTTGTTGTTGTTGTTGTTGTTGTTGCGCCTTCTCTCCTCTGAAAGGGTTGACGTTGCCTGCCTGCCAGCCTGCCTGCACCTCATTATCACGACCAGGAGTTTCCTAGGCTTCGCTGCGACGTGTTAGTGAAGCTAAGTGAAGCCAAGAGCACTTACTTCTTTCTCGGCAACAGTTTCGAGTCGTCCAACTGTAGAACCCACGTAACCTCACTCGGCCCTTTCGCGCCGGTAGGGGCACGAAATATCTTGCCGGTGACCCATTCTATCGGCACCGAGGGACGGGAAGGGCGTTCTTCCACCACAGCAGTCGTAGATCTTGCTTTCTTTCTCGAGCCTCTCCTTCATCGTACAGATTTTCTGTTGAGGGTTGCCAAGATACAACCACAGTGAGAGATCGTCAGGTAAAGCCGTGAGCCAAGAGCACAATATCCGGGCGTGGATCGGATCCAGCTGCTTATCTTTGCGACTACCGGCCCTCTTTTCTGGGCTAGATTCTCGCTTCAAATGATGAATGTATTGAAGACGGTTTGTTTGACGGCCGTATGATCGACGAAGTTGCTCTTCGGAGATTCCAGGTCTTTTGTCTGGAGATACGAGGTCTCGAGATTCATTGCATGAGATAACAGATTGCAGGGAGGTTTCCCTCGTGGAGAAATTCTACCGGGACGCAAGTCGGATCCCGGAGCAGTCCAGTCGCTGGTCTAAAGCCACTTTAGTTCCTGGTCCAATGTCAATAAATAATAAGAACGGGATGTTTGGTCGCGGAATACATATACGTTGTACCTACGACTTGGCTACCGGAGCCCCTGGCGAAGCTGCAAACCGAACTCTGATTTTTGCGAAGCCGTCGGGGAAAAAATGATCGTCAGGCCTATCAAGGTCTTTCTCTTGCTATTTTCAGAGCGAGTGCCACATAGATCCATGTGGAGGTTTGGAGTCGAACCCCAGATTGATTGAGGGTAGCTGAGATGTTCTTGGGATTGTCAGATATTTGCATGAGGTGACCAACCTGAGTCCCAGGGCATCGCGGCCATCGCAGCCATCGCAGCCATCGCAGCCATCGCAATGAGCGGTGTCGTCTTCTACCTCTAAAGCCACAGTCCAAGTACTCTGTATACCCGGGCAGGAGGCGGCGCCCTATACCAGCTGCCGAGTTGACGACTTACCAGCAAGTGTGGTCTTGAACCAGGGCGTGGAATTTGACTTTGGCTTCGAGCGGCCAGGAGCTCAATCCGGTCACGTGGTGCGAAGAGTATTATCGTTCCCGCCCTGCATCTTTCGTCGCAAGCAAAGCAAAGCAAAGCAACGCAATGCAATCCCGTGGACGAGTAAAGTTCTCGCCGTCTGGATAATCAGTGCCCGATGGAAGAGGCCTTTAGAGCGCAACCATTCGTCAACAAGCTCGAGCATAATGTGACACGCATAGATCCGCAGACAACCACAGCCGCAAGGACAGATACAGCGCGACGATAGAAAAATGCATATAATAGAACTCCAAACATAAAGGCATTTAAACAGCACGCACCGCCGTCTTGCTATTCGCCTCCGCAATTGGCAATAATCGATGCTCCCTTTCTCTCTTCTATATACGTACTAAGGGCTCGTTTGGACCGGCGCGCGAACGTACGTTTTCACGGAACCAAATTGCCCAAACCATTTTTCTGGACTATAGGTTTTCGTAACATTAGCACCACGAAAACGTAGTCAGATCGGTCGCTGTCTGGTCTACTACTTGGTCGAAGTTTTGTAAGGTAAGGAAGAAAGAAGAATCGTCTCGAATCGAGGCTTGATACTCTAGGTAATCGTCGGTCGGGATACGCGATTACGTCGCGGAAGCAAATTTCGTTGGGAACGCGTTTTTCTGTATATAACCACTCATTATGACATACAAGATACAATTCGCAGCACTGTCATTGCATCTTACGATTCGATTAATAGTAAGCCGAAAACGCATCCATTTAGAGAAGCTTCTAAGGCTTTTGCAACGTGACAGTACCGCGTAACTAAGTAATCTTAACGCCATCGAAGATTTGGCGACGGACCTTTAACGCGCTATAATGATCTTATCTCAACGCCTCTTAAAAGAGTAAGAGAGCTGCTGCGCGTATTGTAAACAGCCTGTCTGCCATGCTTCCTTCATGGGCCATTAGGGCCACACTAGCCAGGGCCAACTTCTATAAGAGGCCACACCCCCAGTAGTTAGAACAATCAACGAGCTTTCCACCCATCTCTTTGCTGCCTCCTTGTGAGGAACCATGAGGTTCCGACTCTTTGTTGGTCTTATTACAACAGCTCTTTTTGTGTGCTTCTACAGTATATACGATCTTAGTGAGAGTACCTTGAAATATGAATCATGATGGTACAATAAATTTCCGACATATTTTTGACATGCTCGGAATGCAACGCATTCGCTCCCGCAACGCAATCCACCACATAGGTAATATAAATGGTAATAGCGGTAGCGAGCCCAGCTATTCGATCAAACTCCCCAGAGCTGCTTGCTCGCTTATCTCCAGACTCTCAAATCTTCCTTTTCCATTTTGCTATGCAATTAAAAGAAAAGTTGCAGTTCTGCATTGTGCAGAGCGTTTCTAGTCTGATAACTCCATTCACCACGCGATGAAATTTTCATTTTGCTTGATATCGGTCATCATTCAAATGAACGATCTTTGAAGATATTAATCGCGGTACGAAGTGTGAAGTGCAGTGTTTTGATGAGACTTCAAAATTGCCAAGTTAAGCGAACCCACGAAATCCGCCCGGGCCAGGGCTGCCAAATAGATGCCGCCAAAGTTTTCAGATTATTGATGTATGATAGTGAGGAGTTCCTTTCCTCCTCCTAGACCAAATCAGCTGTCGAGCCGAGACGTCCAGCCACCGCCACCCGGACTGCGCTGTACTACATTCTCTTCTCAGCCACCGCCATCACGTGCACCTTCCAACCGAACCGAACTCCATCTCCTTCTGCTCAGCAATACCTACTATATCATCATGGCGCTCAACGCGCGCGCAGCAGAAGGGAGTTGGAAACCAGTATACCTCAACCTTCCACTCAATACATCAGCGTCTGACGATCCCATCGGCTTTGCAAAGGTCAGCGGATTCTACGGTCCGGGAGCCTGGGCTGCTCTGTTTCTGACCCTGTGCTCTTCATGGCTCAACCTGGTCCTCCACAAACGCGGTTTCGACGCGAGCATCTGCAGCTACCTGATCGCGCTCAACGCCGCTGCTATCGATCACCTGAACCATCTCCGCCGTCTGTCGGCCTTGAAAGCTGCTGCTGATGCGTCCTGGATGCAAGAAGCCGCACCTGTCGGCGCTGCATTCACCGTGACATGGTGGGGGCTAGGCGGTATCCTCGCGCAGATTGCAACGAGCCCGCTCTTGTATCAGCGAAGGTCGCAGAGGCGGTCCCTCGCCCAACGGGTTGGTGGTCTCGTCCTGGGATCACTCGTCCCTTCTATTTCCATAGCTGCAGGAATTTGGCTGGCCGATAGAGAGGCAGGGGCGAGTATTCCCATGCTGTACTGGCGAGGGATGATGATGGAAGCAGAGCCTGTCGGTGTGGATGGAAAGGGACACAACACTCTGAACTCTCACCACGACGCTCGGATATTTGCCTCGCTTACCGGTCTCGGCTTCGCTATATTACTTGGTCTTGCTATTGTTTGCGTTTCTGGCTTCTGGCTAGACTCGAAAGCTCCCAGTTTGCGGATCCAGCTGGCGGCAGTGCTTGGTCCATTGTGGAAGGTCACAGACTTTCTGCGCCGGAAATTTCGCAGTCGGAAGGCTCGGATTAGAGGAATTGTGGCGATCATCGTTCTCGATTTGGGCTCGCTTCTCGCGTTCGTGATCGGCGCTGATGAGTCGAAGGAGCGGAAGCATTGGCAATTGCTACTTCTCCCATCAATGCTGACAGTGATTCCCTTCTTCGTCATTCTCCTGATTGTTGGAACACCGGTCATGGCACCGCTCCACGGGACATTGTATACTATGGAGTATATCTCCGCGGTATCCTTCCATCACGGATCTTCGCCCTCACAATCGTGCTGGTTTATGCCGTGCGCACCCCAATCGATCGCCGAAATGGACCAAGCTTTGGCGCTCATTGGGGGTCTCTTCTCACTCCTCGTTCTGGAAATAGGCTGGCCATTCATCAAGCATCAGAGGAGGGAACGGAGGGAGGCGCTCTTGTTTGAGCAAGAGATGTGGCAGAATTTTGCATCGGCACAGGTGGACTCGACCATTCAAGACTTAAGGAACGATGACAGCAACGCCGACACGAGTGGTACGAGCGGAGCGCGTTTAGACGTGTCTCCTGCGGGAGCCAGTGCAAGGGATAGTGGGGCCCCAGGCTCTACCCGCAGGTTCAATCCAGCCATTCTCGCTCAAGAGGCTAGGTGGCGGAGACAGACTACTTGGTAGCGAGCGAGTTGATCTTCACTGGGTGGGATTTCCGTATATGAAAATGCCGATTTTGCCGGGCAGGAGGGTCTCATTCATATGCGAGCAGTTATTTTCACCACGAGGATATTTAGTAAAAGATACCCTTTGATTAATAGGCGTTGATGGAAATCGGGTGTGTCTCATATCTTATCTACATTGCATTGCTACTTCTGGACACTAATGGTTATTCCGTTGGAAGCGTAAGGGAGCAAGCTGTGTCTTTTTGATTTATCTAACGGACTCGGCAAACGATTTGAGTTGAGGACTGGTTGGAATATAAACGTAGCCCTTTTTTTCCTTTTTTTTTTTCGCTTCTGTTGCAGACATCTGGGCTAGGGGACTAGATTACTGATGTGTACTTTTGCGAACTTGTACTTGGTCTGATAGATGGATGTTTTGGAGATCTTGGATTCCTATATTTCCGGGGGAGGGGAAATTGGTAGCGATTACTTGTTAGCGCGAAAGTATATAGTATGATTATTGGGTAACGCGAAATGTTAAGTAAAGTACCGGTGTTGCGTCGAAATTGGGCAATCATCTCATGTTCAGACGGATTTTCTGTACTGGTTGGTACCGGAGCGGATGCTGTGCAACCGGACGGTAACCAAGAGTCCAGTGGCTAGCTGCTACACTGGAGTAGGACATGTATGAGCTGAGATTTTGTATGCAGGCCGTTGACCCCGCCGTTATACACACAGACCGGATGAAATTAATCGGATTCTCGATATGATAGGGTCTTTGGAGATAGCCGAACCGACTGGAGAGGCAGAAGAGGCAACCCCTTTTCTCGGTGCCTGGCCTTTGGAAAGTAAGCTTACTGTACCACCACCTACCTAGGGTCTCTCTGCTCTTCCGATACACTTCAACACTTTCCGCCCGTCAGCCTACTCATCATCTCTCGACTTCAAGCTCAGCTGAGCGTGGATAACCGCTTCTAATTGGTATGGCTGGCAACATGTTTTTCGACCGGCATATAATATACATCATTGAGATTGACCTCGGGGATGGTTAGCAGTCAGCCACAGACTGCGAGTATCGAGCGATCTGACGATACACACCACCAGTATCAACCAGACATTATATATATGTATAGGAGACCACCCTCGGGAGCTTTAGATGATAATAGTCACCCTCAGACAACCTTTCCAAATTTTGCTCAGTCAGAAAGTCCAATTATATTACAAGCGTCGAACTCTGAATCATGACTTGTGTCCTCTACGAAGCCAGGCTTGCCTTGTTCACCTTGCTCATTCTTTCTGTTCAGCTGGCAAACTCGTACCACAGCGGTGCACCGCCGTGCCGGTATATTCCAGGTGACGCCCGGTGGCCTTCGGGGGCGAAGTGGGACAAGTTGAACGCGACGGTAGGCGGGAGACTGATTGCTACAAAGCCACTCGCGTCCGTGTGCCACGACCCAATCTACAATGCTGCCATGTGCTCTACTCTCAAAGATGAATGGGACACTCCCTTACCATTGTAAGCACTTAGCACTTGCTCCAGCTGTTGTCCTTAAGGTCGAGCGCTCGTCGACGCGTTCTATAGACTCTAACGCCCGTCTAGTATCCAAGCTCCGGCCGAGATCGTGACGGCACTCTTCCAGAACCAAAGCTGTGTGCCGTTCACTTCGATCTCCACGCCGTGTACGCTGGGAAATTATGTCAGCTTTTCTATCAACGTCACAGGGGTGCGAGACGCAGTCGCTGGGCTGAAGTTTGCCAAAGATAACAACATTCGGCTAGTGATCAAAAACACCGGGCATGAGTGAGTATACCTCGAAGCGGTTTATGTTGAGACACTGGTCGGCTGATCGTAATGACAGCTACCTCGGGAAGTCGACTGGCAAAGGGGGTCTGGCGTTATGGATGCACAACCTCAAATCCATCGAGATCATTGACAGCTACAAGTCTCGGAACTACGAAGGCCCAGCAGCAAAACTAGGAGCCGGAGTCATCGCTGCAGATGCGTATCTGGCCGTCCACCAACGTGGCTACCGTGTTGTCGGTGGGTCTTGCCCGACAGTCGGCCTTGCGGGAGGGTATAGCCAAGGAGGAGGACATTCGAGTCTGAGCGGGCAGTACGGTCTCGGTGCAGATAACGTCCTGGAGTGGGAAGTTGTGACGGCTGACGGACGCCACCTGGTAGCGACACCAACGGAGCACGAGGAGCTCTTCTGGGCATTGAGCGGCGGCGGCGGCGGAACATTCGCCGTCGTCCTGTCCATGACAACCCGGCTGCATGCGGATGGCCCAGTTGGCGGTGGCTTGCTGGTGCTGAACATCACCCAGACCGGCCCGGAGGTGTACTGGGACACGGTGGAGCTCTTCCACGCCTCTCTACCTGCCATCGTCGACACGGGCGCCACCGTCTCATACCAGATCACGAATAGCCTTTTCATCATCGGCGCGATTGCTGCACCGAACCGCACCGCAGCGGAAGTCACGGCTCTCTTGTCTCCGGTACTGACAAGCCTGGAAGCGAAGGCGGCCCCATTCCTCTGGATCCCGAGCCACTTCGAGACCTTCTACGACTGGTTCTCAGCTGCCTTTGGGCCTCTGCCGCTCGGGATCTTCCCCGTCGGCGGGCTTACTGCCAGCCGGCTCTTCCCTCGGAAGGCCGTCGCCAGCCAGCCCAAGAAGGTCAACGACGCCCTCCGCAACACCGTCGCCAGCGGCACCTTCCACCTAGCCTGCCTCGGACTCAACGCCAACATCTCCTCCGCCTCGGCATCCTCAACTTCCAGTTCCCGTCCTGCAGCACCACCCGTCAACGCCGTCCACCCCGCCTGGCGCGAGACCCTGATGCACTGCATCGTCATCGCCGACTGGGACTGGACGATCCCCTCCAGCACCATGGTCGCCCGCGAGGCGGAGCTGACGGCGCGGGTCGTGCCCGCGCTCGAAGCCGTCACGCCCGGCTCGGGGACCTACCTCAACGAGGCCAACTTCCTGCAGCCGCACTGGCAGCGCGAGTTCTACGGGGCGAACTACCCCCGCCTGCTGGACGTCAAGAGGCGCCTCGACCCGGAGGGTGTCTTCTACGCGCGGACGGCCGTCGGCAGCGAGGCGTGGGACGCGGATCGCGAGGGGCGCTTGTGTCGGCCCGGGAAGAAGTATGGCGAGGACGACCTGTGAGCGATCGATGTCAGGCGAGGCGAGGCGAGGCGAGGGACAAACATGACAGCGCGCATCTCGGCTATTTCAGGGGTCGTCGGGGTTTTTTTTTTTGCTCGCTACGGTTTTCGCCGGTCTGGGGGATTTCGGGTGCTGGTTGAGCTTTCATTCAATAGTTTACTCATTAGCCATGTAAAAAAGAAGAGAAAAAAAAGGAAGAGGAATATGACCTCACGCGAAATGTTCTATTTCCCTACCAGGATTCTGTCTCCAATCTAGCTGGAATCAGAGCTATAGAATAAAAAAGACATCTCCCACCCTTCCCTACCTTCCTCTATCTTCTAACATCAAAACATGACTACGTCTATACTTTCTTCGACCCTTCCCCCTTTCTACTATATCATCACTATTCTACTATATCATCACTACGATCTTATTATTTATTTGCTTATCCGTTTCTTCGCAAACACTCTTTTCCTTTTCTATTTTCCTTTTCTTTTTTTTTTCTTTTTTTTTTTTTGTTTTTTAAAAAATGCGAATTGCTTTGTTTGGTTTACTTTTGAGTGTAGAGCTTGGTGTTAAAAATAAATATTGGACGTTGATTCTTGAACGTCAACAAGTAAGTAGATGAGTCCTTGGGTTGCAGCGACGGTCCTGGTCCTGCATGTCAAACACGGGCGTGACTTACTCCAGGAGGGAAGTCTACGTACGAACGACGCCGAACGAACAGCCCAGACGTGGAAAAGAGGCACCGGCGGCAGACGCGAAGGGAAGGGGGAAATCGGCACGCGGGATATATTTTTGGATTATTAGGGAGCGCGGGATGCCCGCGGCCGAGGAACGACGCCGTGATATATTCGGAAACCCCATGTTATTCTCTACTCGTGCCTGACGGCCGCCTCATCCGCAAAGCCAGCCCAGCAGGGCCGCGTGGAACCGGTCCGGCTCTTGGATCTGGGGTGCGTGCCCGAGATTCTCAAACACCACCAGCGTGGCGTTGGGGATGGCCGCCGCGGTCGCGGGTCCCAGGACGTCGTAGTGGCCCAGCTTCGCCTGCACGTCCTTGGGCGACCACTGCTTCCCGATGGCGGTGTTGTCCTTCGCCCCGATCAGCAGCAGGGTCTTGGGCTGCAGCCGCGGGAACTCGTAGACGATGGGCTGGGTGAGGACCATGTCGACGATCTGCGCCTGGTTGTAGGTGAACTTCGCGGCCTTGCTCCCCGTGTAGACGTTGACGAGCATCTTGACCCAGGCATCGTAGCTCGGCTTCCAGGTCCCGACGTAGTAGGTCGCCTGCTCGTACCCGCGGATGTTGCTGTAGGTGCTGAGTTTCTCCATCGCCCACGACGTATCGAGGTCGATCCAGGGGACGCCGAGCGCCTTCCAGTCCTCCAGCCCGATCGGGTTCGTCAACACCAGCTCCGTGACGCTCGCCGGGTACATGAGCGAGTACCTCGTCGCCAGCATGCCTCCCAGCGAGTGTCCGATCAGGGTGGCCTTGGGAATGCCGAGCTTCGCGAGCAACCGGTGCGTGTTCGACGCGAGTTGCTGGAGACTGAATTGATAGCGGTCGGGCTTCTGCGATTTGCAGAATCCAATCTGGTCGGGCAGGATCACACGGTACCCGGCTCTGGCCAGAACGACCGCAGTCGCCTTCCAGGTTGGCCCGCAGAAGTTCTTTCCGTGGAGGAGAAGGGCCGCCTTGCCGTTGGCCGGTCCGGTGGGCGCGACGTCCATGAAGGCCATCTCGAGCATTTGCTCATGCTGGCTGGCGAACCGGAAGAGCTTGACGGGCCACGGGTAGGGCCAATTCGAGCCGTTGAGGTCTTCGGGAATACGGTGTTCCTTGATGAAGTCTGCTGAGGTGACAGAGGCCAGTGCGACCGTGAGCTGCAGCGCCAGGAGCAGGAGGGCATTGCTCAAGAGCCCAGCGCGGCGGGGGAACTTCATCTTTCCAATGAAGCTGAAGAAGACGACGATCTGGGCCTGATTTCTGAGGTGCATGAGTGTGTATTGAGTCTTATGCGAAGACCATGGATTCGGGGTCGACTTACCTGACGTAGATCTTCCTCGCCGATTCCAGGAACAGCTAACTGGCTTTTGTTGTTTTTCACGTCCGGAAGAGCGGCTGATCAACAGCCCGCCCAGAGAGGAATGTATCTCTTTTCTCCGAGCTGCAGGCGAACAAGAGAGAGCGCTATGATTTGAAGCAAGGGAAGGTATTTGAATGTCGCTTGGCGCTGCGAGACATATAACATATTTGTGCAGCTGCAAGGGTCAAGACTTAATAGCGGCTGCTGATCTTACCACCGCCGGATCGCTTTATTGCTCTCGGAAGGAGAAAAAGGAAAGGGGGAAGAAAAAGCAAAGGAAAAAGAAGAAAAGAAAAGAATCCTGGGCCTGTTTTGTTTATCAACACCGACGCTCGGACCACGACTCATCACTTCTCCAGAGCTTACCTCGATTGATATTATCGGGAAATTTCGATAGCTTGACTATACCTGCGTCTATCTTTTCTTTGTTCAACGGGCTCGCTGATTTCGAGTGCCAGCTATTGTCCACAAGGGCCAAGATGGGAAACATGAGTAGTAACGTGTCTCAGGAAAGGGAAAGCTGGAAGTAGAATAGCTTTGTACCCGGAAGTCACAAGGCGTCGATGGGGTGACATATCTATGGGCCACAAGCCCGAGACGTTCCTGGTGGCTTTCCAGGACAGGATTTGAAAGCCTCGACTCTATCCTTCGGGAACACCTCCGGGTGCACAACATATTCTTCCTAAGCGATGACCAAGAACCAAAGATGCATATATCAGATTCCCACTGTCTGACGTTTACTCGCCATAATCGTCCGCGGCTTGGCAGCTTGAGATCATCACTATTGTCTGCATTGCCAGACAGAAAAGCAAATCGCGTCCTGCATGGTACAGGAGGGGACCTTGTACGCCGAAGCACAGCTTGTGCTTGGGAGAACACACGAAGCAGCAGCTAATAAACCTTCCTGTCTCCCAGTTCCACTTTGAGCTCGGAAGTCGCTTAGTTCATTCGGTTCTGTCCATGAGGCCTTGATACAATGACTGCGAGTGGTAACAAGCCTGGAGACAGCAACGCTTATCAAGTCCAAATTCCAATTATCGTGTTCTTCGCCGTCACTCCCATCTTCGTTGTGATCAGAATATGGAGTCGGATATCGATGCGTGCTGGTCTGAAGTGGGATGACTGGAGTATCATCATTTCATTTGTAGGCCGTCTCCCAATCAATGACTTTTCGAGAGAAGCAGAATTAACCGAACCTCCTCAAGATATTCTCCATGACCGTCTCAACTCTGATCATGATTTCTTGCTACTACGGCTTCGGACAACGCATCCAAAACCTCTCTCCTGAAAACAAGAAAATCACATTGCAAGTTCGTCTCACCTTGGCCCTCTCCGCACAGCGCACGCCTAACGAAATGTTAGACTTTCTGGATAGCGCAAGGCTTCTACAAACTCACCATCAACCTGACCAAAGCCTCGATCCTCCTCCTCTACCTCCGGATATTCGTTCAGAGGCATTTCCGGATCATCTGCTACACGATGCTCGTTATCATCGTGAGCTACATGGTCGCCACCTGGTTCGCGACGATCTTCCAGTGCACGCCGATACCTCGAGCTTGGGACCGGAGCGTACACGGGACTTGCATCGACATCACGAAGAACTGGTATGCCAATGCCGGCTTCTCGATTGTGACTGATGTGATCATCTTGGTCCTGCCGATGCCGCCTCTATACCAATCTCAGCTGCCCCCGAACCAGAAACGAGCCTTGATGTTTGTGTTTGCCTTGGGAGCTTTGTGCGGCCCTCCTACCCATTGCAACTCCCCAGCATGTAGCCCGCTGACTTTGGTGTAAAAGTGTCGTCGTAACAAGCATCCTACGCATGCGGACCTTAGAGTCCTCCACCAAGACACCCGACATCACCTGTAAGCCACCCATCCACCCATCCACCCCATCGCCCGCCCCAAGCCCCAGCGACGACGTGTGGCCCCCAACTGACCCAAAAACAAAACACCGATAGACAACATCCTCTCCTCCCTGTGGACGATGATCGAGCCCAACGTGGCCATCATCTGCGCCTGCCTCCCCATGTGCCGCCTCCCGCTCACCCTCCTCTTCCCCTCCATCTTCCCCTCCAAATGCCCCAGCGCGACCTCATGCAGCCTCTCCGGCCCGCGCACCACCCGCGGCGCCTACGGACACGCCGGCACCGCCAAGAACGAGTGGGCGCCCTCCCGCAGCGGCGCCGGCAGCGACCAGCGCGGCATCAATCTCACGAGCGTGCAGAGTCCGCGGATGCGCGGCCGGTCCGGCGACGACGCGAGCGAGGAGTCTATGTTTCCCAAGGAGGCCGATGGCTGGGGCGGGGCCGAGGCGACGGCGACGGGGACGAGGACGGGGCCGGGGACGGGGACGGGGACGGGGACGGGCATCCACAAGGTGACGGACTACACGGTTACGTACGAGGATGAAGAAGCGGACGCGGACGCGGATGCAGATGCAGATGCGGATGCGGACGGAGCTGGCCGGGTGCAGGTGGAGCGGGAGGTGATGAAAGTGTGAGAGTATCCTTCCACATGACTATTTCGGAATATGCAACATCCTGCCTGCCCTGCCTGGGCTGTATTGACACATCAGTAACTCCCAAGTTGGGGCTTGTCCTTTCTGTGTTTCGTACGTGGCTCCGTCTTCAGAGAGTGTCGCCGTGTCACTGGCTGCATCCGTTACATATGAGGTGGTCTTACGAAAATGCAAATGGCCGCAGCTGACTGAACGAACGAACCACTGGGAAAGAAATATGGAAGAAAAGTCCCCAACCCCGTTTGTAGCATAGGGCTCCTCGTCGTTCTTCTCAAAACCGTGCATTCCCAAGGAAATGCCACCAGAGAGAAACACAGATAGCGGTGGGATGAAAGAGGGCACTTCAGAAAAACTCGCTTCGTGGTGATTCTTTGATAGATGCATTCGTTTATAAGCTAAGCGAGCGGATATGAGTAAAAGACCAGCAGAGAGCTCCCGTCAGTCAACCTCGTGAGGCATGTCTTGACTGCCGATTGTTTTTTCTTCTTCTCTTGTTGTCTTCTCTCGAGCGGGTGTCAATACAATACGGCGCTAGTCTGAATTCACAAGATAAGCGAGCGATGATGCACTTGCCAGCATGCACCCAAGGCGACGATGAAAACAAGGCCAAGGAGATTCCATAAGTACCGGTAGGTGGCAGGTATGCAGACTAACGACTTTCCTGACTTAGCACCACTAACTTCCTCCTAGGCGTGCGTGCATGCAGCAGAAAAGGCTCAGCTGACCGCAACACGAAAGAAACCCTTCCCCGCCAAACCGTGACCGACCTGGACCTCGCTTCCCAACATCCCATTCAGACCAAGGAGGATTAACAAACTCGCACTCGGACGAATGCCTCCGGTTCGCGATTCACAATATCCCGGTACACTTGGTAGTGTGGCGTGGAGCCCGGGAGCTTTTGAGTTGGCGCGTACCGGTCCTACTCGCTGCAGCATCTGTGTAGCAGAAGATAAACGGTATGTAGCTAGCTGATGGTCGATAGTTGATGAGCTGCTGAGGGATAAATGAGAGTCGCTCTTTTCGAATCGAAGGGATATCTGGGAGCGTGCGTAGGTGGCTGCTGATTGGAGGGTACGGTTATGGCCAGATGTGCGGGCTTTCCCATCTCAAAACCGTTGGGAAGACCCCACGAGATAATTTTTTTTTCTTTCTTTTTTTCATCGTCCCGAATTCGCTGATGGTGGATCTTGGAGTGGGTTGGCTTTTGATGGCTCGGCGAACAGGATTGCGAGGGGATGCATTGGTTTTTTTTTTTTTTTTTCTTTTTCTTTTTTTTTTTTCAATAAGAGGGAGACATCTGCGGTTTTCCTACTGCATGCCTTTCAGCAGCTAGAAGAATTGCTTATCACAGAGAAACCTTAAACCGAAAATGAAAGCGAACATATAGATAATGAAGACTCGACGCAGAAGGTGTAAGGCGGTATGGAAGTGAGCGACAGCTATTCCCAGATATATGAAGTCGAGAGGTTGTACAGGTGTGATGGATTGTTTGGAAGACTCTCTGCTCTGCAGGCCTGATGTGCCTGAGGCCACAACAGTACTCTCAGGCCAACATTCAACGTCTTTTCTTGTCCTTTCCCTTGTCCTTCCTTCCCCGCTTTTCCTACCCTCTCTCCATTCCCCCATTGGCTCGCTCCTATCCTAGTATCCTTCTCCTGCACAGATCTTTTTTACGATGATATTTTCTGTTTCTGCCGACCTCGACATCACAGGCTCAGACAATGACCTGGCTGAATGGTTTAGTGGTATAATTCTTGCTTTGGGTTACGTGCAAACTGCAAGAGGTCCTGGGTTCGATTCCCAGTTCAGCCCACTCGACTGGCGGTGTTTCTCTTTTGTAGTTTTTTCCTTTTCCAGCTTGCTTGCTTGGTTTGGTATCGATGAGAAAATTCAAGACTGGCGGTGTTGCTTGCTGGCTGGCTTGGAATATATTGTACCGGTATTCCGGTTTGCGTGCATGCATGCATTCTACAGTAGTATATATGCACCATGTCAAATTCGGCAACCCCCGCTGCTACAAGTATTTTTGTTAATTCTTCATTTGGTTTTGATTCTTTAATGTATCTATATATATGCCTTTCTTTTCCTCTTTCCCCCTTTCCCTCTCCTCCAGAGATCATTAGTTCAACCAGCCGCTCGCTCATCTCCCTCAACCCTCAACCGTCACTCTTTTCTTTCGCCCTTCCATCCGTCACACCTTTCATTCATCCATCCACTCATCCACTCCAGACCCCCATTTAAAAATCCCTTCCAAATTCAATTCCAACTCCTCAATTTTCCCCCTTTCTCTTCTTTCACATCTCATAACCACGAACCGTCATCGTCCTTATTTCATCTCATTTCGTTCCCATCAATCAAATTTGATAATCAAACGAACTCTAAACTCTGTATCTTTGAGGAGTGGTTCGGTTATATTACATCGTATTGTTTTGATTGATGGATAATCAGACGGGGAATTTCTATTACGGTGATGATGGTAATGGTACTGGTAAATGTGTATAGACTTTGCTATCCATAGCAGGGAAAGAAGATGAGAAGAAGAAAGAAGGAGATTATGAAAGAAGAGGTCGGCATTATTATCGTCGTGTCCTTCTTTCTGCTCTTTCTGCTCTTTCTCTTCTTTCTGCTCTTTCTGCTCTTTCTGCTCTTTCTGCTCTTTCTGCTCTTTCTGCTCTTTCTGCTCTTTCTGCTCTTTCTGCTCTTTCTCTTCTTCTCTCTTTTTCTCATCTCAGTATCTCGGAATCTCATCCTTATCAAAAGCCTATCCGCGCCTTTACCCCCCCCATAAAAAAGGGCTCTACAAAAAATCCTACAATACCGCCTGAGTTTTCCCCTCTCTCAAACATTAAACCTAGTTAGTACCCTCCATGAAATAAATAAACAGTAACAATACCTTACTTATCTTATACTTATACTTTAATCTCATCCCTCCCTCTACACCTACTTCCTTATCTCATCTAATTCCATCTCATCCCTCCCTCTATACGTACCCTACGTACTCAATCATCTTATTAAATTAAATTCCATCTCATCCCTCCCTCTACACGTACCTCATTTCCTTTAATCCAACTCCTTTGCACGTACACGTACTGAAAAAGGACCGGTAAAGCACGTCGCCGTCGGTAATCTTGTCGGAGGGAGAGAAGGCGGCAGGGAGAAGCGTGCCCACCCCTTATTTCCCACCCTCCTCCTCCGCTTGATGGTGATGAATATGATGAATATGATAAATATAACAGTAATTATAAGAATAAGAATAAGGATAAGAATAATGACAATTTTTATTGTTTCATCTACCTTCATCTACCTTTTTCTTTTCTCTCTCTCTCTC